AGCAAAGCAAAGCAACAAAAACCAAATGCTACAATGAATGAAAAATCAGTTTGGCGCATGCAATTTTGAAAGTGCCCTCGGCGGGCTAACTGACTAAATGACTGCATGACTAGCAGCATGACTGCTTGACTGCTTGACTGACAAGCCAAGCACTAGCAGCAACAACAACAACAACAACAACGGCCAGAACTAACTGTTGGGCAAATGCCGCTTATCAGAAAATCGCTGCAACTGCAACGAAAAATATGTTTTGAAATGCACCAATATATTCGACTTGAATATACACTACAAACTAGGTATGGATAAGTCAACGATTATTTGTTTAATCGATATATGTTTTTATTAATTGCTAATACTATCGATAACTTTGTGATATTGTCGAATGTTTTCGAGTGCCAAAACAACTTGACAAGGACGACAAGTTAATTAATAGATGGTTTTATTGATAGGCATTGTTGAATTTATTTATCGATAACAACGATAATTCAGATAAATGATGACATGAGTTAAACTGTCAATATTATTAATTTTGTTTTTGTTTGTGGGAATGAAGGCAATCAGAGGCATTACATCAATATGATTTAGACGTAGATCTCGATAGATTCTGTTCCAACTTTAAATAGATTTAAAGGAGCAAATGTGTACAAAATATAAAATTTACAACTAAATACAAAATCCAAATATAAAATCTACAACAAACAGTTAAAAAATCAGTTAAAAAATCAGCTCTACTCAGTTTACCATTGCCCAAAGAGGCATCAAAAATACAAAGTTGATTATGAAAAGTCTTGCATTGAGTCTGATCTACTATTATTATTATTTCTATAAGTAGTAGTAGCAGCTAGTTCTTATCTGCTGGTCGTCAGCATTGTCTATGCGTGTGTGTGTTTGTGGGGGTAGACAAAGGCTTGCATATTTTTTAGCTGACGCAGCGTATACGTAATGCACTCAATCGCCAACGCATATTACGTATACGCCGCATCAGACAAAAGTTGAGCTCAGATAGTTGCCTACATTATGCAAACTTGGCAATAAAAATTCAATTAAGTTACAAGGACACAATGTCAAGTGGCAGGGCTCGATAAATAAAAAAATAATAAAAACAAAAGAAAACACAGCACGGCAACAAAATTGTGACATGCTGCGCAGTCGTTTTGACTTTGATGCACGTTTTAATTATAATTTTGACGCCAACTGTTTAAACACGAACATACACAGCGATAACACATGGCATCTGTGTGTGTTGTGTGTGTGTGTTGTGTATTTTGCTTGCTGTTGCTTTTGTATAGCTTGCACTAATTGTTTCGGACAGGGCCGCATAGAAAATGCTGAGCCGACCAACATTTCGACTACTAGTTGAGAAAGTTGAAAAGCATAAGAGGAAAGAGAGAAAGTGAGAGATGGAGGCACATAGAGAGAGAGAGAGAGAGAGATACAGAGGTAGTGTATGAGAAGAAGGTCTACATTTGGCTCAAGCTTAATTGAGGCAACAGCCAGCACAAAGGACAATAGCCGGGACTAGCCGCAAACACACACACACAATCGCACACACACACATACACGCACACTGAAGCACAGTCACACATACTCACATTAATGCCACATATGGTCAACATAAGTCACAAAACCAAAACGTGCAGCCCACATGCCACATAGATCGCCACTGTGCACTTGGCAAAAAAAAAATAATAATATATAAATTTATGTTTTATGCGAAATTAAAAATAATAAATTTTCTGAATATTTTGAATATTTCAATCTGGTCTTTAAGGAATCTATATGCTATAAACTTTATTTACTTTTATTGATTTAATGATTCATTTATATATTTATTATTTATTTACATTTTCAGCAAGAATATGTTTCGAAAACGAATTTAAATTTATTTAAATCTGCATTTCATATATAAAACTGATTTTCATATTGATTTTATGATTTTTACTATTATATTGATATTTAATTTTAAATTTTTAAGGGTTGATTATTTTTATGTTTAGGTTTTTTGGTTTTTAATTTTTATTATGAAATTTTAATTTATTTATACATTAATTTAAAAATTATTTATGTTTTCCTATTTTACTTACTTATACATTTATTTAAATACTTCTTTACTTATTTATTTGTTTGTTTATTTTTATATTTATTTATTTATACAACGATTAAATTTGCAGTTTGACATAACTAGAGTATTCTCAAACATCCTAATAAATTAGTTCATTTTCCTAAGCGAATTTTTGTCTCTTTCTTTTTATTACTTAAAGATTTATTAACGTTTTCTATAAAAATATATTCAAATTCTCAAATCCACTAATTAAGATACGCTAATGCGCAGCAACTCTAATGCTCAATTAGCATTGTTAAAGTCAAGCAGTTTAACAGCTTTTCACAAAGTGTAGTGAAAATCAACAGAGGCTCAACTTTTCACAGTGTCTCGAACGTGTGTGTGTGGGTGTGTGTGTATGTCTAAGTTTTCGCCTAAGCATTTCAATAGGGGGTGTTTGTTAGATTTATAGCCCTGAAGCTATAAGTTTGAGTGAATAAGGATGTCTATGTGCATGAGTGTGTGCGTGTGTGCAAGCTGTACTCAATTAATACACATCAGTGTGACATTAGTGCCATTTATTTGAGCAGGCTGGGGAAATAGAGTGGATCAAAGACACAGATATAAGATAAATGAGATAAACACGTGCATGGCGAATTTGTTTTTGCATTTGAATAACTGAGTGGATGCGGCAGGAGGGAGGAAACGAGGTGCCCGTATGTGAGGCCACTTGATGATGCATAATCGAGACACATTTGCGACACGCCCACCGCACATTTGCGGTATAGTCCATCAATAAAATGCACCGAAATTATCGGTGTCTATCCATCAAATCGTTAACTCAACTTTAAAGTGCATAGAAAATTTATGTGTTTCTCTCTTTTTAGTATGATAGTTACCAAAAAGAGAGAGAAAGAGAGAGAGGCAGAGAGAGAGAGGGAGAGTGCGAGCGAGTATATAGTGAAATGAGAAACAACCAAGCAGAAAATAAATTACAGCGACATTTGACTTTAATTTGGCCATAAAATGCGGCACAGCGTGCGCTGCAACCAGCGCCGAAAAACTGCGCGCACTAAAATAAATTAAACGCTAGCTAAACTTTATTTGCGATATAAATAAATAAATAAACGAACGTTCATATAAATCAAAATGAGATGAAAAAAAAAACAGACAGCTGAAAACTCTAACTGAAACAGAAACTGGCCAAAGAGTTGAACACAATTTGGCGAATGCCAGCAAATTGCTGAGCGTAAATCAAATGCAATTGAAGCATTTGCAATTGCCAGCAAATACCTCGCAATTAATTACTAATCAGAGTTGAACGGACATGAAACTGAAATTAATGATGCGCTCGAAATTTGCAATCAAAAGCATTTGATTGAAAATCGGATTTTTAACCGAAATTAGATAAAATATTTTGCTGCGGAGATATCGGATTTTTAAAAGCATTTAGATAATATATTTTGCTTCAAATAAATTATTTTCTTTATCTGTGTTACTATAAAATATGCTTATATATTTAATTTATTTTAATAAAAATAAATTATTTTCTTTATCTGTTTTGTGTATAAATTTCTCAGATGGCTGGTAAAGCTCAAAAATATTTTCTGAATAAGGCATTAAAATTTAATCTTCTTTGAAAACAAAAATATTTCATAGGTGCGCTTACTTAAAAATACTTATAAAAATATTAAAAATGTTTTCAAAATTTTTATATATTTCACATATTTTAATTAAAATTTGTTGAGTATATTTATATTAATTTAAACTTTCAAATATTATTATAATTTTAAATATTTAAATTAATTAATTAATATTATTTTTAAGTATTTAAGATATATTTATAATTTTTAATACTTAATAAAGTATTTATTTATTTACTTATTAAATAACACAACTCTTATTTAATTAAAAAAAAAATACGATATCTCCAAGAAAGAATCATAAGTATGCTAGCTATACTATATAAGCTAAAAGATTGCTAGATTAAAAATATATGAGTAAAATATTCAAGCGGTTTTAATCAACATTTTTGATTCAAGTGCTGCTGACAGATAAGTATCAAGGAAATCAATTGTCTTAGCTAAAATTTCATTATGAATTTCATATAGAATATATATCACTGATTTCATAAAATAATATACTATATAGTGAAATATATGTATTAAGGCTGTGTCTTAGCTTAACCTTCTCCTGCTCAAAAACTCTTAGCAATTAGTTTGTACTTATATTTCAAGCAAATCCCAAAAAATTTAAATTATAAATTGTTCAACATTTTAAGCACGCCTTAAGCTGCCAATTTGCAAACATCTCAATTATGCACTTTTATCGCTAGCTCTCCCTATGTTCGGTAAAAGTTTTGTCACCTCACACTGTTTTAGCAACGGCCCCGAGCACCAAGAATTTATGCATTTGAATATATATAGAGTGAAAGTACTGCTGTGACATTTTATAGTCAAACTGGAAATAAAGTTTTGAATTACAATTGGAAATTGTAACATTTTAAGCACATTTCAGGCAACTCAACTTGAACAATCGCGTTGACCTTTTGCAGTGCCAACTGTGCGACTTTCAGCTGTCAAACTGCATAGTTTGGCTGCTGCAGCAGCAGGAGCTTTGCCAATTGGTCCCTTGACCTGCTCTACTGCTGCTTGCTGAGTTCCTCTTCCACTGCCGAAAAAAAACAAACATCGAATATTTTACTTTAAATTGAAGTGACTTGAACAGAATAACTATGTCAAAAGTCTAAAGATTTAGATAAGTTTAATGAAGGCGCAACGAAATAAGTAAGTTTGGTTAAGATAACGCAACTTTATCGATGGCCGAGCTGTTTATGCTCGACTATAACAAAAGACTGCAGTTAATAGACACATAACGTGCTGCTGCTACAACAACAATCAGAAGAAGAAGAAGCACAAAAGTGTTTACAAATGAATTTTCATAACAATGTTTTTCTTACCATTCACAAAATAAATGAAATTAAATAAAAACTCATTGAGTCTGTGCGGCAATTGAGCTCAGCACGTAAAAAAACAAATTCTGATTGCGATATGTTTTGTTGTTGTTTTTGGCTAATTTCTATAAACTTATTTTTTTATGCTTTGGCTGTTTATGCGTTTTTAATGCGCGCAATTATTAGCACAATTTTCAGCTTTTTCTTTGTTTTTTTTTTGTTTTATTTCATTTCTCAATTGCACAAATGTGTTTTAAAAATACGCGTTTAAAAATGAATTTTTGAATTTTCATTCAGTTGATAATTATTTTGAAAATACACTCAAGCATTCACACACACACACGCACACACACGGGTCCGCACTCAAACAGAGCCGCTATGTTGTGAGGCGAGGCGCACGCGGCCAGCGACAACAACGAACTGAAAATTGTTTGTAACAGAAACGAGTGGCGAATCGTTTTTTGTTTTCAATATAGCCGCGGCCAACGTTGCGTATGAGCGACGGCAACAAACTGAATAAACGAAACGCTGCACACAGTGCGCACGATACGCTGGCAACATGTTCGATCGAACATGTTCGACGCTGGTTGCGTGGGTGCTGAAGAAAGAAAACATAGTTGAGGCGGGTTACAGTTGGTCGACAGACGCCTCGGCTTATCACTAGAAATTAAAACAAAAGCCGTGCTGCTTCTACTGCTGCGGTTGCGGCATAACGAAAATTAAATGAGACCACAAAATAAAACAAGCCGTAGAAGAAGCAGCTAGCACAAGAGGAAGACGATAAACAACAAACTTCCCGTTATAAAGTTGTTACGTCGTAATCTTTCGTTCAGTCCAACAATTTCTGAGAAAATGAAATTAGTTTGAAAGCCTTTGAAATGTAAATAAAAACATTAATTATATTTCAACTTTAAATGATAAGGTGTTTAAAAGAGCAAAAATTAAAAATTTAATATTGTCAAAATAATTTTGTAGATGTTTCCAGCTCTTTATATAAGTTTATTATGCATTCATTTGAACTAATCTTATTTTAAATTAAAATTTAAGTTAGAAAGAGCTTGTAATGATTAATGATTGAAGCTCTGTCTATTATATATACATATATTTTTTAAGAATTTTATATATTAATTACTTCAACCTAACTCTGTCTATTATATATATACATATATTTTTTAAGAATTTTTTATATTAATTACTTCAACTTAACTAGAAATATTTTCCAACTTCCTTTTCGCAGAATCCCTGCACTGCAAACTATTTGCTGCAGCCAGGCGTTATAAGCTCATTCACAATGTTCGATCTGAAACAGTTTTAAGAATTAGTTCCAAATGCAAGCCAACCAAAAGATTTCAGCTGCAGTTCATTCCGAAAGCAGCTCGTGGGAAGGCGGAAGAAACAGAGAGAGAGAGAGAGAGAGAGCAGAGGAACTTGTGCCAACAAATTGACGTTTCTTTGGCTACAAATTGGCATGGCCCGCGTTTCACACTGTCTCTGTTGTTGTTGTTTTGGTTTTTGTGTTGCCTTTAAATGATTTTCCATTTGCACATTTCACACGACTAAATGTTTGCCTTTCATTTCGTTGTTGTTGTTGTTATTGCCAGTGGCAAAAATTTTCATTCATAAAAAAAGGTGAACGCTTGTGGGCGTCTCGAACGTCGAGCATTGAGCGCGAAAAACAATAAAAGGCGAAGATGAAGAAGAAGAAGCAGCAGCGGCAGCGACGTCGGAAACGACAATGGCCCAGGCAGACAAGCAGGCGTAGAAATAGCAGAGCGAAAGGGGACGAAATGCAAGGAAAGGGATGCCGCACGCAAAAGGGTGAGGCAGAGGCGGAGGGTGGCAGAGAAAGCCAAAGAATACGGACAAAGTTTTGCACAAGTTTGTCGCCAATGTTGTTGTTGCTGTTGTCGCCTCTTTTACGTTTGTATTTATTTATACTTATTAATACAACACACATGCACAGCAATCTGTGTGGGTGTGCGTATTTTTTTGTTTCCTTTTTCAACGCGCGCGTAATACAAAAAAAAAACTGAACTTTTTTTATCCAAATATTTGTTACATTATTTTTTTTTTGCAAAAGAGAAAAACAATACGAAACTGTAACTGTACCTAGTCTATGTTTGTGCTGTTGGTTACAAGTGTGTGTGTGTGTGTGTGCGTCTGCCTGGCTTGTCACATTGTTAAAACCTCAGTAACCCAAAGCCAGGCAGTCGGCATTTGTGCGGTTTTCTGTGCTGTAAAGCTCCAACGAGCGACTACCACAGACATTTGTCCCCGCGCTGCCCCGTAACCCCATCAAAACGAACAACATCTAACGAAAAATGTCGAGGCAATGGCAGCAAAATGTTAGAAACCAAAACAGAAAAAAATAGGACTCACACAAACTGTTGGTCGATAAGGTTGTCCAAATCAAAACATTGAGACCGAAGACGTCTGTTCGCTGGGGCAGACGGTGGGCAGGGCCAGCAGCCTGACATAGGCAAACAAAAGCGGCGAGGGCTTAGGGATAATGCCTAGTTTGAGTTGGCTCAATTTGGCTATACCCTGCAATCATAAAATGGGCTAACATGGGTAGGAATAACTGAGTGTGAATGCATGTGACAGGTGAAATTAAAGCGGTAAATGTTAGACCAAGAAACTATTGGCAAAACTGAATGGTGAGCTTAGAGAAGAAACTAAATTTAATGATGTCATTTTTCTATAAAGAATTTAAATGAAGAATTCAATTCGGGCAAGATTTTAGTATGCTTATAGACAGTTGATGTCAGCTTATTTAAACGACATATTCGCCACCATCTCTAAAAGTAGTAATTCCACAAAAATGTCCATCAAAATATTTACAATACATTTTAAACTTAAGTCTAAACAATTTTTTACATACGCACTAAAATAAAAGAAAATAAAATTAATTTCAAAAATAGTTCAGCTCTTTCATTTTCCATTCCAGGATAACTGCCAGTTGATCGCTTTCCATTCCATCCCTCTTGAGTTTTTCATTTATAGCCTGAAGGCAATCGTGCACTGGGTTAGAGTTGAGCCCTCGACTTATACTTTAAGCCCGCCTCCAATTTTTGAATTTCCCAAGATTTATGCGCCACGAAGAGCAAAAGCAGAAAAATAACTTTGATGAGGGACACGTAGGGCAAAAAGGCTACATAAAGAACAGCTGCTGATATATAATATTTGATTTTACATCTTCAAGCTTTTGGTTTTCTCTTATTTCTTTTCGATTTAATGCCAAATAAAGTAATTTTTGATTAAGTGCCAAATTGAGGGACAGCTGCCAGACAAGAGCTTAAAAAGCGGTTTTTTAACTATCTTAAAGATCTTATAACAATAAGAGAGAATTAAATTAGTAAATGGCAAAACCTTTCTTAGAAACATATTATATATGTAGGCCACGTCAATTATGCTTCTTCTTCGTTTCAAGAAATTGAATTTAATTGAGGCTGCAAACAAAACCCCTAACTTGAGTCGGGCATAATTCGTCGGGAAGCGTAATTAAAACGAAATTCACTAAAAAGTATCCTCCACAAAAAATGAAAGCAAATTGTAATTGAATGAGGACAAGCTGACCCTATTATCAAAGTTGGCCCAAACAAATTAAAAAGCCTTAAGAAGCAATTAGGAAGAGAATTTAAGAACTGTTTGAAGAGTTTTAAATTTTTGTGAAATATGTGAAGATGTCAGCTCAATTTATTCTTGTTATTAAAATAAATAAAAATTGTTTTTGTTTTTGTGTTTTTCTTTTTATTTTTTTTTCATATGTTAAAAGAGATCTGATTTCAATTCTATAATTTTTAAATTCTTTTTTTCTGACTTGTGCATAATATGAAAAAAAAATATTTTTTTTAATTTTTATTGAATATATTATAATGTAAAAAGAAATTGTTTAAGTGCTTTGTAAAGTTTTCTCTGTTACTTAAGCATAAAATATGAAAAAAATATATTTTTTTACATTTTTATTTAATATATTTTACACAATTTTATTTAAATTTTACAAAAATTAATTAATATTTAAAAAAAAAAATATTTTTCTGGCATTTGCAACAAAATACGTTGTCTATTTTTTGCTTTTGGCTAACAAAAATATATTTTCAAGGGCACATTTGCATAACCAAGTGCTGAAGGACAAATCTAGCAACTGTTAGCCAACAAATGTTGCTTTCTTTTCATTTTATTTTTATACAAATATATATATATATATTTTTTTATTTTATATGTGACACAAATAATGCATGGCTCATTTGCAGCTGCACCTGAAGGCTTATTAAAATCAACGAGCTTGCAGAATATTAATGTATATACACACACATATATATTTCTATATATATTGTTGGTCAAAGCTTGTGCGTCTTCCTGTTGACAAACAGCCATTACAACAACAACGACAGCAACAACAAGATGAGTAACGAAATGAAATTATGATACCACAAGTCAGAGGAGCAACAAACCGGCCGAGCCAGTTGGCAGATTCGATTTACGTCAACATCATCGTCGGTCGGCTGTCCCGCACACACACCACACGGCACACACCACACAGCACACACCCCACACCGACACACGCACACATGCATCCGGTGGTTAGGGGCAGTCATGTAAATGTGATGTATGCCACTGTCCCTGTCCCTGTCTCTGTCTCTGTCCCTGTCCCTGTTCGTATCGCATCTGGCTATCTCTGTCTTTGTCTATGTTTCCCTCTTCGCATGCGATATAATTATTAATAATAAAAACAAAGTGAAATCTTGTTGTTGTTGCTTTTTTGTTGTTTTTGCTGCTGTTGTCTCGGTTGTCGTTGTCCTCGCTGATGCATTTCCGCTGGGCTGCAATGTGACTTGCGTAGGTAATTAACACACACAGCAGGAGGGGCTTCTGGCTGAGAGCACAGCCACTGAAGTCCGTCATCAAAGTGGACAAGAGACAGTTGACAGCAGCTAAAACTGTGCGACAACTTTGCCCTAAGTGTTTTTCTCTACTCTAACAAAGTGGGCCAGCAGTTGAAGTTGTTGAACTAACTAACTTTAAGATCTTGTAATAAATCTGTTGCTAACTCAGCTGCACATAAACTTTAAACTCTCAGTTCAAACTTGTTCGAACTCAATTACCTATTTATTGCCAGCGAGCCTTTAGCTAAACTGGCAAATGGACAAAAAGAAGAAGTAACGGAGCCGGTTCTTCTTCTAGTATTTAATTGATTAATAAACATAATAAAAAATCTAATATTAT